CAGGAGTGAAGTGTTGCAACAGATCGCAGCGGTTTGTGTCTTTTTTGAAGCAGCACGCCCGACCATGAAGAACCTGGGGCGTTGCCAGGGCACTCACCCACTAGGCGCAGCGCAAGTGCGAGAGCCCGAGCCCCGCCTCCTTCGCCAGCTTGGCAAATTCGTGGGCTTAGGCGGGCTGGCCGGGCCGGGGGGGGAGGCGGGTTCTGCAGAGCGGGTCTGCGGGGAATGACCGCCACCCTGCCAACCCAGGCTACGACCCAAGTCTCTGGGCCCCGGTCTTTGATAAAGTCAGCAAATTTAGAAATGGTTTCGAATAGTTTATCAAGATTTTATAAATAGTCTCAAATGGTTTCCGGAAAATTTAGAAATAGTTTCCACTACTGTTTTAAGTGAGGTTTTGCGTGAGCCCACACACCCGTCAGTCCACGGCTGTCCCCGTCAGTCCCCGGCCCGTCCCCGTCAGTCCACGACCGGTCCGGCCGGTCCCCCTCACACCCCGCTTGACACCGTCAGTCCGCCCGAGCCACGGGCAAAGTTAACGCGGCTTTTGTGTTGGGCCAGCGCGCAGCTAGCTTTCAGCGAGCTGCGCAGCCTTTCGGACTACAGGTGGCCGGTGCGACTCCGCGGGCCGCCGGGGCGTTCGCAGTAAGCCGGCGGCCCGCCTCCTGACCTTTCCCATCCCAGCTTGGCTTAGGGCTCTGTGAGCTGCGTGAAGACTGCCAACAGCGCAAGACCAACTCTCAGTGATTCTTCGCTGGGGCAAATACAAGTAGAGGAAGTTGCCACGCAACATGTTGCAGTTAGGTTTGCCTAGGTGGGCATCCAGTCACACTACAAGTCCGCAACCAGATCACTCGCAAACAAGCGGCCTTTGCGTTGGCCAACAAATTGGATGCCTGGCCGGGATCCGAATCCAGAGGCAGAACATAACCTTTTCTTTGTACCATAACCATTGCGTAGCACCATTTGGATACCTGCGCAACCAAAAGTCAAAGAAAGCATGCCCTCGGGCGCATCACATCACCTTACACACTTGATGCCAGCTGAAGAGAGGCTTTGTTGTGGAAGCAGCGTCTCTGTCAGGATGTTGCCGTGACGATTTTTTCTACACGGCGTAGGTTCGGCCACCGACGGCAACGCCCAGCGAAACCTGCATGATGAGACATCACCTCGCGCGGCCACCAAACAACCTCCTTTCCGCCGATTGCGTTCACGTCGGGCCGCCAACTTGAAACTTACTGCAAGCGCCTGCCGCTTCTGGTTGACACAATTGCCACAGGCTTTTTCTGCGTGCCGCACAGCACGCCGCATCGCGATGTGCTCAGCTGCACATCCTTCAGAAGACAACAGCTCAGCGGGTTTGCGATCTTCTTCGTTTTTCGACTTGCCACTGCACCAGCAACACACAAAAAACTACAATGTGTGGCAGCTGTGCCGTGTAGAATGGTTGGTTCAATGCTGACGAACCGTCTGCGCCCACCTCGTCCTCGCAAATCGTTCAATTGGGCAAGGCCCCTTGCCGCTCAACCCGCTTCCGAAATAATGCTAACAACCAGCGCAGACATGACACTTAAGCTTCTGCCCCCCCCATTGCGGAAACACACTGTCAAGGCAAAGAATTGCAGAACTGGGCGGCTCAAGGCGATTTACTTTCTTGCTGTCGCTGTACTCAGTATTCCCTTGCTGTTTGAGAATACCAATGGGAATACCAAATGATACATGTGAATAAACGCACAACCTTCGAAACTGGCTCCGAATAGCTTCTCCAAATTTCAGAAGTAGTTTGTATGGTTATGCATCTTTCAAAGTAGTTAACTCATTTGTTTTTATGAACGGTTTCAGATAGCTTGCAGACGTCGGTTTATAACTAGTTTCAGAGAGCTTACTAAACATTTATCAATAGTTTCAAATAGCTTCCCCAACATTAAAACACAACAATGTTTCAAGTATTGCCCAGGAATTGTAAAAATAGTCTCGAATTGTTTCCTGTAATTTACAAATAGTTTCAAATCGTTTCCTGAATTTATAGAAAAAGTTTCAACTAGTTTCCGTTTGTTGAGGTAAGTTCTATTTGTTTTTGGACCGAAAGGTCCAAAAGCGCCCAGTGCCTAAAACATGGTTATAGACAGTGTCCATTTGTCTGCCTTCTTGCTCAAATAAGGCACTTACTTTTGCACATACACCAACGGTTGCCTGCTTCTTTTTTACAAATAGTCTCAAAAAAAATTGCTGTGTTTCTATAAATGGTTTCAAACAGTTTCTAGGTTTTTTAATAAGTAGTCTCAAACAGTCTGGGATTTTTACAAATAGTCTCAAATAGTTTCTGGGATTTTTATAAATAGTTTCAAATAGTTTCTCCTAAAAAACAGAACTCTGAAATAAACACGCCCACGTTGGTCCTAAAGCTTTGTGCTGAAAGTTCAACTCACGGATCAACAAGCCATGGGGCGTGGTCCCTTTAAACTTCGTATCCTTTTGGGTTTGAGAAAAAACATTTGGCGGTGGAGGCAAAGGGACACCAGCCGGTTTGGAGGTTCCGGATTTCTAAGACCTGCGTGGCATGTGTTCGGCGGTTTGTTTGAATGGACTTCCCTTAGGCCACGAAGGTTTCCATCTATGAATTGTTGGTTCTCCAAGATCTTGTTGAGACACACCAAGTTGATGGCCAGCATCGAGTGTATTTCAATCAGCAAGCGGAGGGTTTGTTATCAATCTCATGGGCGTTGGGACGGGAGGCCCTGACTTGGGACGATGTCAGGAAAGCTTTCGCGTACCACTTTGCCAGAGGCCTTTCTCTTTTTGCGGAGCTTGGGGTCGATGATTACAGATCTCCCAATCTTGCTCCTCTCTTGGTTCCTTTCATGGACTACTCCAATGAGTGTGCTCCTTTTTGCCCTATGCTTGTTGGAGGGGGTCGAGACAATCGACTTTAATCCGCAGCCGATTCTTTACCAATATGCTATTGTCATGGAGAGCATGTTAGGCAGGGTTCCCTTGTTTGATTGCCCCCAGTGTGGTTCGTTGCCCCAAGAAGGCGAAGCCTTTGGTTTAAGTCTACCGTGGCACTGAAACAAAGCAACCCTGTGTTTCAAGCTCTCAGCGTGCATTCACACATCAGCAGCCTCGGATACTAGGAGTCATGGCCGTCTACGTTTCCCACAAATGACACATGACCATCCCTTCTAATCCTGTCATTAGAAGTTCAAGGCATGTTTTGACAACCCACCGTTTTCCCCAAATGGGATGTGTCCAGCTCTCAGCTTCTTGATTATGTGTGGGATGGCGGTGCGGCCCGATTCTGCTGGTAACATAACTGACCGCGACGTGTAGTTTGCAATGTGCACAAAGAATGCCAGATACCCTCCCTCCCACTAACATGGCACCTGACAGAGGGTCCCTGAAAGAGGACATTGGTCCAGAAATTCCTCCCACAAATGCCACGATCATGTGGGAAGGGTATCTTGACCCGGCACCTGCCTCTAGGCAGTCAGAGAAGAAGGTTCCACATGGACTGAGCTATGGGGCTCCGGCTTCGGGTAGCTGAAGCAAACATGCAACACGCAAGGCCTTAACTTGACTGCTAGTGGGTTGGATCTTTAGACTTTAACTTTTTGGTTGAAATCAAGTTGGGTTTTCCACTAAACGAATTTAACAAGTTAAGGTTTTTGCAGGGTCAACAGCAACCAACTTAATGCATGAGATGCAATGGGGAAATTGTAGATGGATCTCGGGGGCGTTTCCTCACCGATGAAGGCTTCTTTCTTGGGGTTCAACTTCTTTCGATGCACCTCGAACAACCCTGGCCCCACACCAGCCCCGGACCCCAAACACGTGAGTGTGGATCAAGCGGTTGCATGTATTTGAGTATCACTTTTGGAAATGCGAATTCCCACCGGGAATCAATCTTAAGATGTTGTGATGATTGTCGATTAGAAGGAAAAAGCCCTGAGGCATGGTTGGGCATGGCAAGTCGTTTACTCGGACTTACTCGATCGAAGGATCCACGGTCCTTGGGCGTGGTGGTCGAGGTAGACCTCTCGCCACCCTTGCGGGGCCTGGGTGGCGTTGGATCTCAGTGGAGACAAGTTGAAATGGGCATCAAGCATCGGAGCAACAATGCAAGCATGGATTCTGGGTCTCAATCGTTTCGTGGATTCCAAACTCCAAAATCCCATATATATATATATATATGTGTGTTTGGTGCGTTATCAACCAATGGTCAACCCCGAAAACAATGTCAGCTTTTTCCCTGGATGGGCAGGGACGGCCTCTGAGTGACGCTGTTTGCAATAGGGGTTGACTCTATGGCACGACACCCATGTCGTTCGCCAACGTGAGGCCAAGACTGCATGTGCATGTGTGCATCATATTGCTTTGCGCTCCCAAGAATCTGTTGCAACGGTATCAGCCGCCCTCGCCGTTCGCCAGATGGACAAAGCTGGAGAATGTATTGGCCATACTTGCCTGACAGACATGATCAAAGCCGAGACATGTACTGGTCTGCACATGTGAGACAGAACAAACCGATTGCCTTGGTAGAACAGACACACTGACTTCAAGGAGTCTACAGTTTGTAGCCCTGGCTTGACCAGCCTCTGGTGGGGATTTGGGCGATTTGCACGATTCAAGAACTTCAAAGTGGTCCCTCCAGGCGGTACCCTCCAGGTGGTTGTGGGTTTCAATCAAGCACCCGAGTGCTCAAGGGATGGGACTCTCAACATACAGATCCTGAAATAGCTGGTTTCTGTTGGTCGCCCTTGAAATACCAACTGAAACCGGACTTCATGTCGAGACGTGGTGTTGTCTAAACAACTCCTTCCAAACGAGACCCCAATCTGAGGACATAATTGAGGGCACCCAAAGAAAGAAGAGGGAGACTTCAAGAGGAAATTACCGACTTGGGCCTTTTTCGAGATCCCAAAGAACTTACTTCAACCCTCTTGCAGAGCCAATCCACTCAGCCTCCGGCGAGCCATGTGAGAAAGACATTTCGTTGAGAGATGGAAGCTCGGCTGAGTAATGCGGACGATTACCTTACAACATGTTGCCTGGTCTTGTAGGGAGTCAATACGCTATCTATCTATCTATATATTTAATATGTATATATGTGTTTTCTTTATGGAGTTTGTTGTTTGGGGGGGAGTTGATGCGGGATTCGGTTGCAGTTCTGTGGAGCTAACAGGTTTCGGGGGGGGGGGGGGGGCTCAACCAAGGTGTCGAGTTAGTTAAGGATGGTCTGAGTTGATTGAATGCTGGGTTTGGGGGTGGTTGGTTTTTGGTTGGATTCAGGCTCGGCTCGGGGTGCTTCACAATGCACCACCTGGCGATTTGAAGGAAGCGGCATGGACGTAATCACCAGGTGACCGTAGCATTGAAAGCTGGCAGGATGTTTCAACTTCACTCGTTGTGTTGGAAAACGTGGGCTTAGGACCAAGTTCTGCGATGCCAAGGGATCCCCTCTCAAGCGATGAAGTAGTCATGGGGATGACCACTCCATTCGCAGAAAGCGTGAGTTCCAGTCGCAAATGCGACTGGTGCGGTAGAAGGAGGCCAGGTATGGAATTCAGCGGTTGCAGGGTGGCCCACCATTGAATATTGTATGGCCGTCTCAGAGTGCCAATGACTTCATGGCGGCCAGAAGGATCTGGACGTCTCAAAACGGAGGCGCAACCCCTCAAATAGGATGAACCTTAATATGACCTTAAGTCAAACAATCCATTGTTTACACCCCCTTTGTAGATGTTTCAAGGCCCGCCCGCCCCTCCCCCCCCCACAAAAAAAAAAGCAACAAACAAAAAGCGCGATGAACCTGACTCCTAGATGTTTTAAGGCACCCCCGCAAAAAAGGAAAGACACGAGGAACAAACCCCTAGATGTTGTAAGGCACTTCCAAAAAGCGATTCACATGAGCCACAATCAAAGCCCGGGTAGCTGAAGGTTAGTAAGGGACAATCCCAACCATACGTAAAATGCTGCGGCCGCCTTCTTGATCCTTCACATGGTTCTGGGTAGACCATTGCAACACCGATCGGTTTTGATTGTGACTCACATGAGCCCCCTCTCCCCCACCAAAAATACGATGAACTACCCCTAGACTGTTTTTTCAATTAAACATACGATGGACTAACCCCCAGACTGTTTTGGGCTTTGCCAGCCATTGGGGGGTCCTGACATGAGCTCCACCCATTCCGCTCGTCTTCCTTCGACGGACGGAAGGCGGCGGTGGCCGCCTTCAAGGCCCAGGACTTCCGCGCCGCGGAGCGGCTCTTCTCGGAGGCGACGCGGCGACTCTCGGCGCGGCGCGTCGGCGGCAACTCGGGCGGCGGGGCGGCGATTCACCCGGCGCCGGGGTTTCCGTGGGATCCGCCCGCTTGGGTGAAGAAGAAGTAAGTCCCCCAGCGATTGGTGCCCTTTTACCCTTCCTTTTTTGGGGGAGGGTTCCCCTACTCAAATAGACTACAGCACAAAGGGAACCCTTATTCCAACCTCTCTACTGGAGGACCTAGATAATGATCCGTTGGACGTGGTGAAAGGAATATGTGTTTGATTTTCCTCTGTTGGTGTTCTAAGAGGGAATCGATTTCGCTACTGGATTTTTGTTTCTATTTTGGCCAGGGGGCGAAAGCGCACATGGAGGGTGTCCTTTGCTGCCAGTGGTACCTGGTAGGGTTGGGGCTTGTTGGAGAGAACGGGGGCGAGAGAAGGGGGATGAAGGGGTACATCCTGGAGTTTGGGAAAAGTCTGAGCCGGGCTCCCGGCACAGAAAATGGTGATCAACTTTGGTTCAAAGAAACCCGACCACTAAAGGGGTACCCTCAAAAAAAAGACAAGCCCGAATCCTGGCAAGCTTAACTGGAAAAGACATTAGCCCATTTGGCTATAACCACCTCAGAACTGATCAAGGGGTCGATTTCCCATTCTTTTCAACCATCGTTCTTTTAAACAATCAGCCGTTTTCACTGGGTGTCCAAGGTTTTCTAACAAGACGGATCCCTGGAAAGAATGGACATGGCGTTCTGTCGAGTCTGTCGAAGGCACTGCAGGCAGCGGAAGACGCCCAGAGCCGCGCCAGTGCACTGTGCAGCCGAGCCCAGCAGGGAAGCTAAGCGAGAGTCCGATCGACCAGTCGGATGGACGTGAGTTTCAAGCATCCATGTTTTTTATATGTCCCTTCTTGGTTTTAAAGCGAATCTATCACTGCTGGAAATACATATGTTTTTTGTTTTCTAGGCGGCTTCAGATTTGGGGTGTGTATGTGTGTTGAGGGAGCCCTTTTAGGTGTTACGTACGCCCACCCCCCCCCCCAACCCCCTTTTTTGAGGAAGATCGTGCTGGGCTTGTTGGGTCGCTCATGATAAATCCAGTAGTTGTGTGTTGTGCTTTTGTGCACGCTTGTAAGGAACGACATTTGAGCACAGCGCCTTGATTGCGTGAGTTTAGCTGAGTGCAGGAGTAGTGCAGGGTTTTCATGTTGCCCTTTTCCGCTGGGGTGTATGAAACGCAATGTGCAGCCTTTTTCGTGCACACTTTTTTTTACAGGAGATAATGAAAGCCATATCAGATTTATTCATTCTGGTTGGAAGCCTGCTGCTGCCTCATTTCGCAAGGACGTTTGACCCAGCGGCCAGCGACATCTTTTATGTCGTGTGGAATCTGTTCTGGGTAAAACATATGAGCACCAGCCACCCCCTCGCCGCAGTGAACCTGCAAGCTTCGAGAGCCGCTTTGCTGCAGGCCGAGTTGGGCCGGCAAAACGACACCCAGATGGGGCGCATGGATGTAGCCGCCAAAATGGGGGACACAGAGCTAGAGGAATGTCCTTTGATTGGGTACCGAAGCTGAACCACCCACACGCCATCATCCTTTGACTCGGAGTGGATCATGCCCAGCACCCTCCCCGGCCTGCTTTTTGCCTCTCACCCCCCTAGTTACAGGGAGTGGTTTGTTGTTTGACTGTTGGGATTTGGGGTACCTGAAGTCTTCATGACCCTTTAAAAATGGGTCCATGACCCCTTTATTTTGGGTAATGCCCCCATTTTTGAAGGGATGGGGTTTGCAGAACTTGTCGTCTCGTCGCGTGCCCGGCTCCCAGATGCCGAATCAAGCTGGAGGACTACGAAGGCGCGCGCGAGGAGCGCCGGTTCTGCACAATCACTCGCCGTTGGAAGGGAATGGTCCATGGTCCTTTTTCAGGGCTCCTTAAAAGGTACATGTTGCAACCATTTGAAACACGGCTTTTTCAACACCAAAGGGACACCTCCATTTACGAGGCAATGTTCAGGTGTATAATGTAAGGATTCCTGTTTTTGGACTCGCGCAGGGCTGCTACAAACGATGACCAACGTGAAGGGTAGCAATCAGCAAATCCCTTGTGGGGCCTCTTGTTTTCGGGGCCTTGCAAAGAGCTGGAAGAAGCAGGAAGCATCAGGAAACAGCAGCAAATAAACATGAAACAGCAGGAAACAAAGCAGCCCTTGAACGTAGAGCTCGCGCTTGCAAGTGGGAGTGACAACGCAGGTGTCAGGGTAAGCTCCGCGAGCACACATTTTTATTGTACACGCTTCGTGCTGCCCGCCTCGGCCAGCATCAGCCAGTTTCGGCTTGCTTTGAAGGAATGGCATTTCGTTGTGGGCGCTCACTTCAAGGACGCTTGCAGGCGCTGTCGGCTCCCTTTGTGCCTCTCTTGGTGGGCTGTCTTGGTGGGCTGTCTTGGTGGACGCTTGTGGGCGGAAGTCTTGCGGGCGATGTTCATGAGCGCTTGCGGACGCTTGTGGGCGCTCCTTCGTGGGGCTTGTGGGCGCATGTGGGCCACAAGGACGGAAGTCTTGCAAGCGTGCATCATGAGTGCTTGCGGGCGCTTGTGGGCAGCACTGTTGCCTCTGTGGGCGTTCCTCTTGGCGGGTGCTTCTGGGCGCATGTGGGGGCTCTTCTTGGGCGCTTTCGGGTGTGCGGCGCATATGGGCGCTCGCCCACGCTCTCTGCTGGGTGCGCTTGTGGGCGCATGTGGGCGGGGTTTCATTGGGTGCTTGTGGGGTGGGGGGTGGGCGGCACTGTTGCAGGCGCTCCCTTCATAATTGCTTGCGGGCACTTGTGGGCGCTCTTGGTGGGCGCTTGTGGGTGGTTGCGGGCGTTCTTCATGAGTGCTTGCGGGCGCTTGTGGGCGCTTGTGGGCGGCAGTGTTGCGCTGTTGCGGGCGCCCGCAGCGGTCCATATGGGCGCTTACATTACTGGGGTTCAAAACCTTCTTTTCATGGGGGTTGAACATGTTTACCTCACTCTGAGTGGACTGGCCAAACAATGCAACCAAAGTTGTCGTTTACAACTAACATGTCCAGGAACCCATCAGGGAGTGAGAATCCAAAGGGAAGGGTTCAAATTGCCGCCTGTTAATGTTTACAAGGGCGGCATTCAACGACACCTTCTGGCCCAACAGCTGAGAAAGGCTGCGCAACCCCATAGCCTTTGGCCGCAAGGTTGTTTTATTTCTGGACATCTAGCTGCGCCGCGCATATCTAACCGTCAACCTATTCGGCTCGTCTTGTTGAGGGCCCGCAAGGAGATTGGGTGCTCCTTTTGCTTTCCCTGTCCCTGTCTGTCAAATTCGGTCAGATCTTGTGTCATTTGCCCAGAACCCAAGCTTCTTGGTGCCACTCGCCTGCCCAATAAGACGCCCGCCCACAAGCGCCCACAACGCTGCCCACAAGCCCAGCCACAGACCGGCGCCCACATGCTCACAAGCCCCCAAGACTGCCCACAAGCACAAGGAAGAGCGCAACGGCGCTCCCGGAAGACGCCCGCAACACCGACGCCCACAAGCCCAGGAAGATGCCTGCAACGCCCACAAGCGCCCGCAGGCCCAAACAGCACAAAACTCTCCGCAAGTGCCCGCAAGGACCCTTTGACCGGTTGATGGACAAAGTCTCACGTGTTGGGGTTGGACCATTTTAGTGGTTGTGGCGTTGGACATTTTGCTGAGCTTGTGCGGGCGTTGTTGTGGGCGTTTGTGCGCTCTCTCTCTCTCTCTCTCTCTCTCTCTCTCTCTCTGTCTCTCTCTCTCTCTCTCTCTCTCTCTCTCTCTCTCTCTCCCTCTCTGTCTGGAGTTTGTGGGTGTTAGCGACTCCGCAGGCTTGTTTGTGGATGACCTCCAGCTACTTTTGTGAGTACCCAGGCGCACGTAAAACTTCAGCGCTTTGTGTGTCCGTGCGCACACACGCTGCGTACGTGAATCAGTGTGCAAGAAACAGCTGGCGGCGGGAAGGGAGAGAGGGAGGGAGGGCGGAGAGGGAGGAAGGGAGTGCGTGTTTGAGTGCGTGTGTGTTTGTGAGTGTGTTTGTGAGTGAGTGAGTGAGTGAGTGAGTGAGTGAGTGAGTGAGTGAGTGAGTGAGTGAGTGAGTGAGTGAGTGAGTGAGTGAGTGAGTGAGTGAGTGAGTGAGTGAGTGAGTGAGTGAGTGAGTGAGTGAGTGAGTGAGTGAGTGAGTGAGTGAGTGAGTGAGTGAGTGAGTGAGTGAGTGAGTGAGTGAGTGAGTGAGTGAGTGAGTGAGTGAGTGAGTGAGTGTGAGTGTGTGAGTGAGAGAGAGAGAGAGAGAGAGAGAGTGAGAGAGTGAGAGAGTGAGAGAGTGAGAGAGTGAGAGAGTGAGAGAGTGAGAGAGTGAGATAGTGAGAGAGTGCGTGCGTGCGTTGAGTGCGTGACGGCGTGACTACGTGACTGCGTGGCTGCGTGAGCGCGTGAGTGCGTGAGTGTGTGAGTGAGAGAGCGAGTGGGCGAGTGAGCGAGTGAGCGAGTCAGCGAGTGAGCGAGTGAGCAAGTGAGCGAGTGAGCGCGTGCGTGCTTGTGAGTGTTTGTGAGTGTTTGTGGGTGTTTGTGGGTGATTGTGAGTGATTGTAAGTGTTTGCGGGTGATTGTGAGTGTTTGTGTAAGTGTTTGTGAGTGTTTGTGAGTGTGAGTGATTGTGAGTGTTTGTGAGTGATTGTGAGTGTTTGTGAGCGTTTGTGAGTGTTTGTGAGTGTTTGTGTGCTTCTGAGTGCTTGTGGTTGTGCGCACTTTTGCTCTTGCTGGGATTGTGGGCGCTTTTGTTGGGCTTGTGGGCGCTTCTGGTGGCTGTGGCTTGGGCTTGTGGGCGCTTGTGGGCGCCCTTGCTGGGCTTCCAAGCGCTTCTGCTGGGCTGTGGGCGCTTTTGCTGGGCTCAGCGCTTTTGCTGGCCTGCTCTTGCTGGGCTTGGGCGCTTTTGCTGGGATTGTGGGGCTGGGCGCTTTTGCTGGGCTTGTGGGTTTGTGGCGCCCACGTGCGCCCACATGCGCCCACATGCGCCCACACACACTCGCGTCAGCCCGTTTTTTTTCTCGTTTTTTGCCGTTTTCGACGCCCACACACAAGGCTATGCACTGTTCTGGGCTCCGACACAAGCCCAGCAAAAGCGCCCACAAGCCAAACCCAGAAGCGCCCACAAGCCCACGCAAAATCCCAAGCGCCCACAAGCGCCTTACAAGCCCGGTAAAAGCGCCCACTAGCCCGGCAAAAGCGCCCACAAGCCCAGCAAAAGCGCTTTGCTTGTGCGCGCTTTTGCTGGGCTTGTAAGCGCTTTTGGCTAAGGGATTTTGCTTATGGGCGCTTGTGGGCGCTTTTGTTGGGCTTGTGGGCGCTTTTGCTGGGCGTGTGGGCGCTTGTGGGCTCTCTTGGGTGCTTGTGCGCTCTTGCTGGTGAGCGGTTTTGCTGCGATTGTGGGCGTGTGTGGGCGGTTGTGGGTTTGCCGGCGCCCACATGCGCCCACATGCGCCCACATGCGCCCACATGCGCCCACATGCACTCGCGTCAGCCCGTTTTGTCCCGCTCGTTCCCGTTTTTTCCCGCTCGTTCCCGTTTTTTCCCGTTTTTTCCCGCTCGATCCCGTTTTTTCCCGTTTTTTCCCGCTCGATCCCGTTTTTCTTTCTTTTCCCACAATCAACCAGAAGTGCCCAGCGCCCACATGTTTCATCCCTTTAAGATGCACACAAGCCCACAAGCTGCACCGTTGTGGGCTCACTTGCTGTGAGTAGGCCGGCACCTGCAGGTGGCACCCTTTGCTGCGCTTTTGCTGCACTTTTCGGTGGGCGCTTGTGGGCTTTTGCTGGGCTTGTGGGCGCTTTTGCTGGGCTTAGGCTTGTGGGCGTTGGCGCGTGCTCGGGCGCTTTTGCGGGGCTTGCTGGGTTTGTGAGCGGGCTGGGCTTGTGGGTTGGCGATCTTGTGGGCTTGTGGGCTCTTTTCCTGGCTTGTAGGTTGTGGGCGCTTTTGCCGGGCTTGTGCTGGGCGCTTGTGGGCGCTTGCGATTTTGTAGGCGCTTGGGCTTTTGCTGTGCTTGTGGGCGCTTGTAAGCGCCTTTGCTAGCTGAGCCTGTAGAGGCTTGCTGGGCTTGCGCGCGCTTTTGCTGGGCTTGTACGCGCTTTTTGGCGAAGCGCTCTTGCTTACGGGCGCTTGCGGGCGCTCTTGTTGGGCTTGTGGGCGCTTTTGCTGGGCTTTCTGGTCGGTTTTGCTGGGATTGTGGGCGTGTGTGGGCGGTTGTGGGTGGGCGCTCTTGCTGCGCTTGCTGGGCTTGCTGGGCTTGTGGCTCAGCACTTGTGGCTGGGCGCTTTTGCTGGGCTGCTCTTGCTGGGCTTTGCGGGCGCTGTTGCTCGGCTTTGCGGGCGCTGTTGCTGGGATTGTGGGGCTGGCTTGTGGGCGCTTTTGCTGGCTTGTGGGCGCTTGTTGGCGCTTGTGCGCTCTTGGGCGCTTTTGCAGTGCTGGGCTTGTGGGCGCTTTTGCTGGGCTTGTTGGCGCTTTTGCTGGGCTTGGCGCTCTTCTAGGGTTTCTTGGGCTTGTGGGTGCTTGTGGGCGCTTTTCTTGTGGGTTTGTGGCGCCCACATGCGCCGACATGCGCCCACATGCACTTGCGTTGTCCCGCTCGTTTTTTCCCGTTGTTCCCGCCGGGCCGAAGTGCCCACAAGCGCCCACATGCGCCCACATGTATCCCTTTAAGATGCACACAAGCCCACAGGCTGCACCGTTGTGTGCTGAGGCGGGCGCCTGCACGTGGCACTTTTGCGAGGATTGTGGGTGGGCTTTTGCTGGGCTTGTGGGCGCTTTTGCTGGGCTTACGGGCGCTTGGGCTTGCTGGGCTTACGCTTGTGGGTGCTCTTTGTGGGCGCTTTTGCTGGGCTTGTGGGCTGGGCTTGCGGGCGGCTGGGCTTGGCGCTCTTGTGGGCTTGCGGGCGCTTTTTCTGGGCTTGAGGCTCTGGGCGCTCTTTGTAGGCGCTTTTTGCTGGGCTTGCGGGCTTGCTGGGCTTGTGCGCGCTTTTGCTGGGCTTGTAGGGCTTGCGGGGGCTGTTGCTAGGCTTGTGGGCGCTTGTGCGCTCTCTTGGGCTTGTGGGCGCTTGTGCTGGGCTTGCCGCTTTTGCTGGGCTTGGGCGCTTGTGCGCTCTTGCTGGTGGGCGGTTTTGCTGGGCTTGTGGGTGTGTGTGGGCGGCTGTGGGTGGGCGCTTGTTGGCGCTGTTGCTTGGGCTTGTTGGCGCTTGTGGGCGCTTGGGTGGGCGCTTTTGCTGGGCTCAGCACTTGTGGGTGGGCGCTTTTGCTGGCCTGCTCTTGCTGGGCTTGTGGGCGCTATTGCTGGGATTGTGGGGCTGGGCTTTGGGCGCTTTTGCTGGCTTGTGGGCGCTTGTTGGCGCTTGCGGGCGCTCTTGGGTTGCGGGGCTTGCTGGGCTTGTTGGCGTTGCTGGGCTTGGTTCTTGTGGGTGCTTTTGCTGTTTGGGCGCTCTTGTGGGCGCTTTTGCTGGGCTTGTGGCGGTGGGTGTTTGTAGGCGCTTTTGCCGGGCTTGTGGGCGCTTGTGGGCTCTTTTGGGGTTGTGGGCGCTTTCGCTGGGCTTGCAGGCGGCTTGTGGGCGCTTGTGGGCTCTCTTGGGGTTGTGGGCGCTTTCGCTGGGCTTGTGGGCGCTTTTGCTGGGCTTGCGAGCGCTTGCGCGCTCTTGCTGGTGGACGATGCCTCAAAAAAGTCAACTGCTTCAAGACGATGAGGGTTCCTCCGGACGATCGCAAACCTAGGCCCAAAGCAAATGTGTCTGAACTTTTGGTAAAAGACGCCCTGCTTACCCTTAATCCAGGTTGTCGGTGGGCTTGTGGGCGTTTTTGCTGGGCTTGTGGGCGCTTATTGACTTATAACGCTTGTGCGCTTTTGTGGCGCTTTTGGCCCTTGTGGGCACTTTTGGGCGCTCGTGGGCTCTTGCTGGGCTTGTGGGCGCTTTTGCTTTGTTGCTCTTTCTGGGTTTGTGGGCATTGCGGGCGCTTGTGGGCGCTTGTGGGCGCCGGTTTTTGGGGCGCTCTTGCTGGGCTTGGTTGGCGCTCGTTTTGGGGGGCTCGTGGGTGCTCTGTTTGTGGGCGGGGTTGCGGGTGTGGGCTTGTAGCTCTTGGCTTGGTGGGTGGTGTTGCGGGCGCCGCGCTTTTCATGGGCTTGTGGGTGCTAGTGGGCACACGCGGGCTCTCTCTTGGTTTGCTTCCATGTGGGCGCATGTGGGCGCATGTGGGCGCTTGCTTGTGGGCGGAAGTGCTGCGGGGCTTTCTGGCGGGCGCGTGAGCGCATGGGCGCATGTGGGCGCTTCTGGGCGGATGTGGTGAGTGCTTGTGGGCGCTTGTGGGCGCAGATGCTTTCTTGATGAAGTGTTGTGACCTGGAGTCTCCATGACCCTTAAAAAGTGGGGTCAGTACCCAAAATTAAGGGTTATGACCTCTTTTTCTAGGGGTCATGGAGACTGTAGGTAGCCTGCCGCAATCCTTACTGCCACCCTTCGGAGCTCGTGAGACTCTTCGGAGCTCGTGGAATCCTTCTTTTCGAAGTCAGAAAACCGCCCGCCGATTTTATCTGAGAATCCACGGGTCGCACATTTTTCCCAACAGGACGCCCAGGCAGCGCGGGCGCTGGAGCCCGAGAACGCCAAAGCGTGGCCGGGAAGCCCATTGGAATTGGGGTGCAAAAAACGAGGTGTGCGGCTGGATACCTTTAAGGGGAGCCAAAATTTGACTTGCTGCCTGAGTTCCGTTTCGGACTTTAGTCACTTTTTGGGTAGACCATTTGGGTTGTAAACAAGAAGTTCGGACTTTTCTTGGCCCATCCACTCAGGAAGTGTGGCAAAAGGAGAGTGGTTTGAAATGGTGCTGAAAGAGAACTCACTGCGCCTGGGCTAGCAAGACGTTCTCCAAATTGTGAACACCTCGTCAAGGGATCTTTGGACTTTGACACTTTTGGTTGACACAGTTCGGATTTTCCGGATTGCACCCACAACAAGTGATTCACTTTTTGCAGGGGTCAGCGGCAACCAAGAAAAGGAGAGTGGTGAAAAACAGGTTTGTTCAAGGGTTGAATTAGTTGAACCACAAACAAACTTTCCAGAATATTTTGGATTGAGCTTTTCGGCTTTCAACGCAAGTTTCTTGGGGAGTAGGGGGAATGTTCTGGAGTCCACATCTGCGGTGGACACTTCCATGGTCCAGGGAATGTTCTGGAGCCCACATCTAGGGTGGACGTGTCCATGTGTCGCTCCCTTAGGCATTCAAGGACTAACCTTCAAAGGGCCAGGGGTGCCTAGCAATCGCAGCCATGGTTATGACCCACATGCCCGTAGGTTGTAAACCTTCGGGGGCATCCGTTCGCATTGCCAGCCTTAGCTCTTCGTCGCCTTTATTTTGGGATGTCTTGAATTTCCCTTTGCAAGGAGGCCAAGCTTGGCCATGCAAACAACAACCTGGAGTATGTTGCATGTTGCAGCGTCTACTTGAAAAAAAAGTCACCCTTTAGGCAGGGTCATTTTTTAAGCACACCAGCACACCTCATATGTTTTCTTGCGCATCCCAGCCAAAGGTGTGACTGACCGACCGTTTGATTAGTTGCATGGTTTTGTGCAGACTCCTTGCGCGTTTTGGGCGTGACTGACCCTAAGAATTGTGGTTTTCTCCAGAAAGCAGACCCCCCTAAATGGGTGTACATTTGTTTGAAGGTACAGGGTACCCTTTGCTTATCAAAGGACTTTGGTCATATTCAACCTCACCCTGTTGGCCCTCTTGGTGACCCTTTGTGGTGATGTTTCTATCGCGGACATATATCCTAGGATCCCTTTGGACCGCAACAACAGATAGCCCAAATATCCCTCAAGGACCCGAAAGAAGAGCAGGTTTGGGGACCCCAACAAAGACGCATATCTGAAGGTTCTCCTTTTTTCTTTGTGGGTTTCGGTTTAACTACCAAAAGGCAAGCCGAAAAGCGCCATTTTGGGATACTGTGGATGCACGAATTTGAGACCATGGTTGAAACCAGTGCTTCTTGGTGTTTAACGGACTTGTTTTTCATTCCGGGGTGTTTCACACGCAAAATCAAGGAAGAAATCCAAACACACACAACACAAAAAAACAACAAAGAAAAACAAGAACAACAGCAAAACAAACCAAACACGAAACAATCAACAAAAGCAAAAAACACAAAATATGTTCAAATTTGGAGCCCTGGCCCGCCTAACTTTTCCTTCCTTTTCCAAGCGAGGTACCGCCTGGGCCTGGCCAATGCCCGGCTCCGGCGCTTCGCGGAGGCCGCGGCGGCGCTCCAAGCCGCGCAGCGCCTGCGCCCGGAGCCGGAGGCGCGGGGACGCTCGCTCGCTCGGGGCGGGGAGCCAAGCGCTTGGGAGGTTGGAGCGAAACTGTTGTGCATTTTTCGCCATGGGATGTTAGGACATCAACTTTCCAACTCATGGGTTTTCCACCAAACCAGAAGTTGGAAGTTAAACTTTTAGCAGGGGAGCAGAAAGCAACCGAGGAAAGATGGCCTGGGCCCACGTGGCGCCCCATGAAAAAGCAAGAAAAAACGACCCTCCCTCCCACTATCAACATTGACTTGTGAAGCCCCTCGTTGGGATATGACCTCCACATTGAGTGTACCTAGAGTCTCCTTCTGACCCTAACAAAATGGGTCGTTACTCAAAATAAAAGGGGTCATGTGCCTATTTTTAAAGGGTCATGGAGACTCCAGGTACCCTCCATCCCACCAACATGGCATTTGAGAGGGGGTTTTTGACAAGGACATTAATCTTCCAGGTACCTCCCCACAGGTGCCATGTTAGTTGGAGGAAGGGTAAGGTGACCTTTTTCAATAGCTGAGAGGGACAACGCAGTTTCAGACTTTGATGATTTCCAGGAACCCCAGTATGTGGGTAGGATCAAACACAAACCGGACCGCAGGTTTAGTCCTTCCCTTGGGTTCCATTTTAAGTACCTATCTTTGACCCACCGTTTCGCCAGCAAAGTCACCACTGGTAGGCTAAAGGGAAACCACCCCAGTTTCTGACGTTGACAACCCTCAGAAAACAGTCAAACCAATGACCCCAAGTCCCCATCCCTGTTATTCTTTGGATGTCAAAGGGCATATCAATAGGGTCTTGGGATCCTAGGATGGGGTGTGTATCAACCCCAAACAAGGCCCAAGCCAACCTAAACCAACTTCCGACCGTAAACCCACACGCCCAAATCCACCCTAAACAATCCTCGAAGCTCATTCCAAGCTAAAGCTTCTGGCGATGGCGGCGGTGTTGAAAACGATTCTGGGGATGTTGACGGGTGCCGGTCTAAAACAAAATGCATGTTGTTTACAAATGCTGCAACATACTTACGGATTTTTAGCGCCTGCCGAATGCTGAAGCTGGGAAAAGAATGCAGGGAGCGAAAAGCAGCAAGAAAACAAAGCCGGATTAGCTGGGCTTGTGCCAAGATATGGGAACCGCGAAACTGGGCTCGCTTCATTTGTCCATTGCCTTTCCACCAAGACCACCACCACTACCACGACCCCAACCAAAGCCCATATTGGCAATTTTGTAGGGGGGTTCTGACACGGTTATAAAGAAACACCAACTTTATGACCATGTTTGTTGAAGCAAATCCCTATGCTTCCTCGACTATTCTTTAAATAGCCTCGACCATTTAAACAAATGAAAGGCTATAAAAGTAATGTCCCTCGACCATTCAAAGTAGGTCTTGAGACGGCTGGCTCCTGACATCCCCGCGCGCTTCTGATAGTGAGAGGTTGAAGAACTTGATTGCTGCCTTTTGTGAAATAAGCTAAGTATGTTTTAAAGTCGCTGCATCCCGTTGCAATCACACGCCGTCACCATGCTGTGTCAATTTGGCTTGTCACTCACATTCCCGTGCGTGCTTTTCCGCTTCTTGTCCACAGCTCCACAGAGTCTGATCGCGTGTCGTTTGTTGATTGTTTAATCGAATTCGAAAGAACATGAGGCGTGGACAAACCATGGACAAACCGTGGAAAGTACGTTTTTTAGCGTGGAAAGTACATCTAAAAGCGTGGAAAGTACATTTAAAAGCGTGGACAACCATACTCCCAGGAGCCCACAACGCATGCCTGATCGGCAGCGATGCCCCGAAGCCACTAAGTTTGCAGCATTTTTGAAAAAAGCCGGACTTCAGTACCAACATGCGAAGAATCTATGCGCGCATATACGGTAGGCGGGACACCTGGCGATTTTGAAAAGTCATGTGACCATACAATTGGCAAGCTGGGGAATGAGTGGCTTGGGCACAGTCATTTGCAGCTGGGAGGATGAGGGCGGCGTGACTGTCAGTGACCTGAGCCTAAGCAATTCTTGGGCAACAAACACCATGATTTCTTGGATATTCAGGGCCAGGCGCAAAAAACGGTCTTTCGGCAAAAACAGTCTAGCGACCTCGACCATTCTTTTAATGGCCTTTGGAAGCCTAGGGAAATGTCAACGGGTGTTGTGTGCTGCTCAGGTGGGTTCGGTCAAACTCCTCAATCTGGTCCAACTCACTTTCCATGGCTGCAAGTCCCCAAACAGGCTCAGATTGAAGCCATGGTGACTCACCATCTACTAGTACCCGGCCCCTGCAACTGGGTCTAAAGAAAGTTTGTCGATGGGGTCTCCAAATCACTTCTGGGTGTGGTTTTCCTTGCAGCCACCGTTTAGAGGAGGGTTTCCACTTTTGTGTTTTTTTCTGTCTCAGGCGTCAGTCTCTGAGTTCCTGGCCTTCATTCATGGATTTCTTTTGGGTGATGACCCTATTTTTAAAGGGTCATGGAGACTCCAGGCAGGTCCTATGTGTCACCGAATCCACCCAAGTGAGCTTACAACTCCAAAAATCTGCAGGCAAGCACAGCTTGCTACAAAGGCAGAAAGGCTTGTCCAATCGACCAGTCGCCTCGCATTTCTTTTTTCCCAAGTCTTGAGGTAACTTTGGCACAAATTCTCCATAGAACCGTCCGAGCCGAATGTTCAAAGTTGGAATCGGGCTGTTTCAATGGCCCACGCAAGTTACAAGCCGACCTCTAAATGGAAATCTATTGACAGACTTCAGTGAGGGTGTACACTTGCCCAAATGAGGCGAAAAAAACAGGAAACATACACATATCTTAATTGAAATGGAAGCCTTCAATAAAGAAAAGGCCCTGCAGAAACATGTCTGTTTGAACACCCGCTTTTGGGGTTCTGGTCACAAGACAACCCACCCCTAACAAGTGCGGGGGTGTGTCTCAGTTGCCCTTTAGGGACCCAGAAATCTAAGGTCAAAGTGTCAATTCGCCTTGGGCAAGTGGGGTAAACATAGGAGTGCTTTTGGGGATGCGAAGGCCAGAGTGCGATTGACTATAGCTGGGAGACTACTGGCTGTGACCCTCTTGACCAACTCAACACCATGCCGCCCAGCCCGCGCAAACAAGGTCTGCGCAGTCATGGCCGTACCACAATTCTACGATGTTTTCGAGGTGTTGAACATATTGGATTGCGAATATCTAGGTTGGGAGTGTGAGAACTGTACCATCTGGTTTATGGGGAGTCTATCGAGTCTATCAATGTGTTGTTTCCCAGCGACTTGAGGAAATGGAAGCACGCGTGTCCTGTCTTCCGTCCCTAAGCCAATGGGTACCAACTCCAAGAAACTCCCGGGCCTCCCGCCCCCCCCGCCCCCTGCTCCCCGGTTCGATCGCTCGCTCGCGCGGTTTTCGGCTTGGCTCGAGCCAGGTACTGGCAGCTTTGAGCGGCGCCCAGCAGAGCCGCGCGGAGGCGGAGGGCAGATTCCAGTGGCACCAGGCGCTGCTCACGGATCCTTTGGGGGTCGATGGGCCCAGACTGAGATCCCGGAAATTTGTCCAAAAGCACCATACAGTTCCGACAAAACACACACACACACACCCAAGCTTGAACCAACGCCCAAAGGGGGAGTCACCCTTAGCACGGTCCTTCGGACAAAATCCAAAGTTCACATCATGCCACTTCTGTTAGGGGCAGAATGGCTGCACGGGGTGCTGCCGGAGGGCGTAGTGCGAAGAACAGCCCTCCGACCGCCTGGACATGCCAACTTGAAGGGCGTCATCTGAGCTGAGCCGCCTTGATTGTGCCAACATATGGCCATGGGTCAAAACCCAAATCGTAGCCCAAGTGAACATCCCAATCCCCACAAGAATAGGTTCTAAGATGGGTGGTGCACCTATCCCAAAATGGTACCATTGGTTTTGAACCATGGCCATATTTGAATTGTTGGTAAAGCAAAGCCCCATTGTTTCTTGGCACCCTATTCCAGCCCTACCAACATCGTCAAGGTAAAGAAGGATTTCCTCTTCCTACCAGACGCACTTGACAACCGGAGAATATCAAGCAACATTTAGATGCCCCCTTCATTTGTTCGGCACTTTCTCGCTTTTGCAGTATTTGTTTGCTCTTCCCCAACACAGAGACTCTTTCCTCCTTTCTTCTCAGAAAGTCGGTGGATCGCTCCCCATTTTGGGAATGCAGGGATGGGGCGTCAGGTTTTGGGACTCCAGGACGACCAGAGACTCCATCCCTGCCTCCGTAGATAGGTATGAATCACCTATCAAACTGGTGCCAACTCATCCACAGTATCCTATATGGGTGTGGGTCAAAATAGGTACCCCAAATGGAACCCTGGTAGATGGAAACAAGGACTAAAATCTGCGGTTTTCTGGTGGTTCAATTTTGACCCATACCCATATTCCCCTCCTACGTCAATTTCATGTTTGTCGTGCCACTTTCAGATGAGCTTTCCCGTTTTGGAACAATTTTTTTGGAAGATTTCGGGGGCCCCGCGCAGGCATCGAAGGGAAATTCCAGAGGTACAATTGCTGGCAACTGGAGGCACTGGACCGACACGTGTCAGGTCTATGAGAAGTATTTCGAGACAGGCTCCATTGCGGTGGCCGGAGTCCTCAGCATCGGGCCCAGGCAAAAACCTCTGGCTCGCAGAAATTGCCACTGTGGCGGTCTCCGTTTATACCATGTCGGAGGCGAGTTTTCAGGATGTCACTTCAGTGGACCCGGACCCGGCCCTCCCAAGTGTTTTTGTTTTTGTTTTTTTCCAGGGACATATTTTTGGCTTATAGTCTTGGTAATTGTCTTTTTATGGCTTCAAGCATGCTTTCGAGCAATTATTCAGAGAGTGCCCTGTGAGCAGGGCAGTTTTTCTTAGGTGCGTATAAAGAGCTCTGCCCTCGAGCAATCTATGGGCTCCTCGTTTTGCACGGTTCATGCGCTGCCTGACTTGGATGTAGACGTCCAGCCTCAACATGGTGCAGCGAGCTGTTATGTAAATTGTCCTTGGTAAATGGCTACAGGATTGCGAGCTCACTGGTACTGAAGGTTCCTTTGGAGTTCACGTTTTGCAGCGTGAAGTATTCAAGCATTTTCCAAGTTCCGTGGTTCAGGGCGGGTGGAGGTCTGAAGATGGTCGGTTTGATTTTGGCCGAGCAAACACCAACAAGTAAAGGTGTGCAACCTTACCCCCTCAATCTTGGCGTCAATGGTGTTTGGGGGTGGTCTGTAGGGGCAGGGCGGAGACTGCCCCACCTACCGTGGTTGTATGTCTCCGTAAGTTACCACCATGGTGACTATCCACTTGCGAAGTGCGTTGCCCCTTCAAGTCCCTCTCCCCCTCTGGTTGCTCCACAGAAGGCCTTGCGGGGGGGGCGGGGGGGGGGGGGGGCGGGAATCCAAGGTCCTATGTGGCGCAAAGGAAAGCAAGAACGACCCCTTCGTTGCCAGGATCCCTTCTTTTTTTCAGGGTACCTGGAGCCTCCTTCACCCTTCAAGAATGGCGTCATTTCCCAAACTTAAGAGGTTCTGACCCCTTTTTCTTTTTGGTCATGGAGCCTCTAGGTACCCTTAGTAGGATGGTTTTAACAGGAAGCCACACGGAGAGCCACTTCCTGGAGGTCCGATTCCAAGAAGACGAGCCACTCACTTTGCCCAGGCGGCCGCCAAGGAACAGAGGCAGGGCCGATGGGTATGGCTCATGACCCCAAGAAAAGCCGTCCAACTGGTGGTTTCCTTGAAGGGAACCCCTTTCGGTTTGGTTTCCAAGTCCTTGAAGGCAAGGTTCATTCCCGTATTCCCTTACTGAGCAGCAAGATTCGATTGAAATGATGTTGCATTTCATGCACTGAACATGGACCAGAGTCAGAATGACAGTTGGTGGGGCAAAAGCTGAGATTTCTCCCGAACCGCATGCGCTGCGGGATTGAAGATGGAATTCTGGAACCTTTGAGGGTGTGTGCCAAGATCAAACCCGGTTACTGCAGGGAACGCTCCCAGCCAGCCAAGTTGAAGCGCCCCTCGCTTGTGACATGGTTTGGTTCTACTAGGTCCTTAGGTGCAGTGTCAGTGTAAACCCCTTCGATCAACGGTTCCCCTTTGCCCTCTCAGATTCCCACTCAAGGGCCAGCAAGGTTTGCCACACAAAAACAAGGTTTGCCAAGAAAAAGCACAAACAAATCAAAGGCACCCCCTTGCAGCCCCCAGTAACCATGAAAGGCCTATACCTTTATAACATAACCATCTCAGTAGAACCAAAGACAGTTGGCGTGGTCGCTACTGGCGCGAGCTTTCCACTGGGATTCCTTGTCCAAAGCAGCACAGGTGCTTTCTTTGTTTCCCGGCTTTGTTGTTGACCCAATTGCATTGGGATGCCGGGAATCATTGGAACGCTACGTGAGTCTCAGGGGGGTAGGCAAACTGGAGCCAGAGGAGGCTTAGGGTTTGTTTGGGTTTGGGTTGCTTACGGAGCCTTGAAGCCAGGTTATCCCCCCTAGACTCCCAAGAGGGTTGGCAACTGGGGCCTGATTCCAGATGGCACCACATTGAAAAGTGTGAAGCCTGCGCAAAGTCAACAAAAAAGAGGACGGGTACTGAGATCCGTTGGGTTAAGATTTGGGGTGTTTCTCAAAGTTGGGAACCTGCAATGACCGGGGGTCAAGGAGGCTCGCAGCAGCCGAAGCGCACCTTTGCGCTGAGATCGAATGTCCACGCGCCCACTGGCGCGGTCGCAACCGTGGCTCGGTGTCGAGCGGACAAAGGGGCCCCTCTGTCTAGGGCCATGGTGGCAGCAGTGGATCAACAGTTGACATGTCACAACCGAAGGAATCGCATGGGCCAAAAACCTTTCTCAACTGCTGATCCCGTTGCTGATGTGCCGTCACGTCCTTGATGGCAGAACGCCCTTGGCCGTGGCTCTTGCGAGCTGAAGTGAAGGTGTTGTCGTATGCAACACTCCACAGGCCTGTTTGAAGAAACTTGGTGAGACCCAGGCGACACTCAGCTTTCTTCTTGGTCAAGGCGTCGCCGAGATCATAGTCGCTGGCCACCCAACGAAGTTCAGCTCCGGTTCGGGTGAGATGCTCCCGAAGTTGAAGAGCTTGAAGCGCGGCTCTTGCGTTGCTCAACCCAAGCATTGGTGACTCGTTGTAGATCACCGCATCGTAGCCGCCTTTGCTGTCGGTGGCCAGAATGCCTTTGATGCCGCGGGCCATGCGTTCAGCCCATTCCACCCTGTCTTCGTGTGGGGTGAGATCGTGACCGGCTCCATTCATTTCGCACCAGAGCACGCGGATGCGGAAGTTCTGGTCCTCGCCATCCAGGATTGCCTGGACTTCAGCATCATTTGAGGATATGGCCTTGCGGCGCAGCTTCCAGCTTCGCCATGCCAGGGGTGCCATGTATGTGACCTTGCCCTCGCTTGCATGAGGTCCAGTAGCAACTGAGATCAAGCCGCCGGTGGAGTCCATCTTGCTGCGGTTCGCGTGGGCTTGGTCGCAGAAGGTCACAAACACCATGTCTCGCCACGACTCGACTCCAGGTGGTTTCTTGTAGTGCAGCTGGTAGGCGTGCTTGCGAATCTCGCCGACTAGCTGTTGAAGTTCCAGCGCCGATTGCATGAGGCGCTTGGTCGTGATTTCAGATGCAAGTAGGTTGCACCTGGCACAGAGCTGCGGCTGAGTCTGCAAGGCCAACCATTGAAGACTGCCCCAGGTAGTGCGGCAGGCAGCTACCTCCTCAGGATTCATGACCGCATTCTCTTGACGAAGGCGATCGGGATCAATGTTCACATCGGCGATGGAGTCGATGTAGTACTGCTGATTGATCTTTACCTCCACGGAGCCGTCCTTGTTGATGATGGAGGTCAGGTCGGTTCCGGCGTGTCGGTAGTTGCCACGTTTGGCAGTGCCCCACTCGTAGAGCTTGTCGATCTGGGAACAGACCTGAACCCACTCAGGCGAGAGGCGATTGCCACAGCGATGGAAATCATCCACGTGGCCGCCCATGATGCCAAGTACCAGGGGGATGCCGTAGGCGTCCTTCTCCGTGGCTGACTGCCAGATCCAGATGCAGCGTTCACCAATGAGTGGTTTGCCGCCGATGGAGGCTAGGCGCCGGTGAAGGTCCAGCCAGAGTCCCCTTGGTGCGGTCGTTGAGCCGTAGATGTTCTTGAGGATCTTCATGACTCCGTCTGCTGGGACATCCAGGGCTTCACGAAGCTCTGATACACCGCGAGTCCACAGATCTTGATCCGCCTCTGTGGGCTGCGTCTGCAAGAAGGCAGTGGCCAAATCGAGACCTTCAAGTTCCCAGCCGTGAGTGCAGGCCATGGTGTACAGGAGGTTTCTTCCCAGCCCAGACTGCACAGGGCTAGAGGTCTTGAACTCAGGCCGGAGAAGGTCCGGATGTTCGTAGCCCAGAAGCACAATGCGTGCTTTTGCCTTGCGTTGACCGTCCTTGGTGTAGGTAGACTTGGCGTTGGATTTCGCCTCGGCTTGAGCTTCTTGAAGATCTTCTGGAGGTGTTGGTTTCCAGGTGAGAACCCATCGGGCTCGCATGATGCGACCAGAGTCGAAGGCCTCGCTGACCTCCTTGTTGTCCAGAGCCTTGCGAACAGCCTCAGATTTGATGAAGCTGCTGACTTCCTTGGACTTGGCTCTGCTGAAGAGTTCCCTGTGTTCAGGAGAGAGGCGGGAGAGCACAACCTCGCTGTCTCTCATCTTCTTGACCATGAAGGCCGAGGCGTCCCGGAGGAAGTCCTTCTCCTTACGGTGGGAGTTAAGGTCAACGTCAAACTCGATCTTCATCACCTCCTGGGAGTCGATGAGGAGCTGATGGAGATCACCTTCAACTTGGTGTAGTTCCTCGAGCCAGCCCAGGTCATAGCCGTCGGTACGCTGCTTCTTGTTGTCTGGCTCATAGCTGTTGGGATCTTCAGCTGCGGGATCAGCGCTTGGACTTGAGGTGCCAGGTAGATCAGGTGGTAAGGCTTGAGGTTCAGTCGAGGTCTCCGGCATGGATGGTCCCATAGAGCTGTCCAGTGACTCGGGAGTGTAGTCCGGGTCGTCCGCCAACGGGTACATGGGCAGGACGTGGAGGAACCAGAAATGGTGCGGACTTCACACGGATCCGCCTCTTGGGGATGTCGATGGTCTCCTTGTTGGGGAGATCGGGCAGATCAGGCTGCTCTTGTCCATCGACTCCGGGTTCATCGTCGGCAAGATCGATGAACTCCTTGTTGGGCAGCATGTCGGAGAGGGAACGCCACCGGGAGACGTCTTCCTTAGCACTGATCTCGAACTGGGTCTCCTCCAGGGGCGTGGTAGGTCTCACGGAGTGGACAGAGCAGCGCAGGAGCTGGTTCTGCAGTAGCACCCAGACGATGTGCCTTCGGGCGTCACTTGGTTGTTGATGTGGAAGGATCTCGTGAAACACCACTCGGCCAGGACCGATCCAGTGCGGGCGTCCGGATTTTCGAGCACCGCCCCGCTTGCCAACGTAAACGTGGGATGGCCATTGCTTGCGCCATACCATCACGAGTTGCACGGGATGGAAGGTCCTGATGGGCTGTCTCACAGTCGAGTTGCTGAGCTTGGAGAGGACACGAAGGGCACGGGTTTTGCGTGCTACTTGTTCAGCACTCTGACGCAGCTGGACTAGACGTGCGTAGTCGTCGTCGGGCGACTCAGGAAGTGTGGCAAAGGTTCTCACGTCCTCATCGGTGATGGAGTAGTCCTTGCCGTAGCACCACTGGAAGGATGAGTACCCTTTGACGTACTCGGTTGAGTTGAGCGCGGCGATGGCCAGGTGCAAGGTGATGATCGGGTCCTGAGAAGGAGAGCCAAGCTGAATGGCTGATGCTGTCATCTTGACGTCCTTGATGGCGGACTCAACTTGGCCATGTGCCCAGCTTTCCTTTTCCGCAGGAGGTGCAAGTTGTACACCGATGTCGGACAGGAAGTCGCTCACGTCCCGAGAGACCAGGGTGATGCCGTTGTCAGGGATGACGACTTCTGGCCGTGGTTTGTCGGCCAGCCACCGTTCAGCTAGACCTTTGATGATGTCTGCCGAGCTTTCGCTCTGCATTTGGAGGACATCGTAGCACTTGATGACATGCACAGCTCGGAGACGTGTGGCCAGGTCCATGATCAGCATGAATTTGAGCTTCAGCTTGCTATTGGGTATCACCCACTCGGTCACGTCGACGCCAATAGCTTGCCAGGCGCGATACAGTGGATGCGTGGATGCCGGTGGTATACTTCCGGAAGAGGATCCGCCAGGTCGAAGAGCATCACACGAAGCACACTTGAAGTCGCGAGCCATTTGAACCTTCCATTCGGGTAGCCGAGCATCTCGAAGTAGGTGCACAAGGTTGCGGTTGGTGGGATGCCCAGCGGCCTTGTGGAAGTGGTGTAGCTTGGCAGACCAAGCTCGGTGTTCTGGACCATCTTGAGGTACATCTGATGGCACAGACAGAATTGCTTCACTAGCGGGGTGACCATCTGCATGGAGTTCTCCAGCATGGAGATCATCACGAACATGACCAGGAGGTAGAGCTAGGGATTGAGTTGCCTCCCAAGGTTCGCGTGCGATGGCCGAGTTGGGTCCATGGAGGTGATACCGTTGTGCTGGTAGTGCTTGAAGTTCCAGTGGTCGTCATCCAGGTTGACGTCCTTGTCAGACA